CTGTACATACATGAATATATATAATGATTGCTAAAGTATAGCAATCATAAATAGAATGTTTCCAATTCAATAACTTCTTTTTACTTGATTTAATAATCTAAATACTAATATAAAATAAAAATAAATTTGTTTAATTATAAATAAATCAAATATTACTTATCATTTGAAACTTTGACATATTTAATATATTGAACTTCAAAATTTTGACAAAATTTTTGTAAGATATTATAAAGCTGGCAGTATTGCTATCTATTGGATAGATATTGTGTCTGATTGTTATATTAGAGATTTAACTCTTCTATTAACAAAATATCTGATATTTTATAATATAAGTATCAAATGCCTAATAGGCTTATCGGATGCAATATCTATTCAATAGATTGTAATATGCACCAAATACAGTTAGATCTCTTTAAATGCACCCTTTATAAGTACACACCCTCTATAAATGCATGCTCAAGTGCCGGCCCAAATATATACTTAACCTTCATAAATGCACTTTTTATTATTATTCTCTATATATATATTATTAAAGTGTAGTCCCAAGGGCGTGCACTTAGAGAGGTCTGACTATATCAGGTTGCTATCAGCTTTATAACATTCAATATTTCGCTAATATCTTACTGAAATCTTATTAAAATTTTAAAGTTTAATCTGTGAAATATATATATATAAATTTATTAAACTACAGTTTGAATTCAATTTGAAAAAATAGATATTATTACCTGCATTTACTATAGGCAAATTTAGAAATTTTTACAATTAATAGCTTTTTAAAAAATATAAGTATTATTATCTAGCTTAGGGAGTTTTGAAAGATTTAAAAATCGACTTGTATAAATAGCTTGTGAATGTATTTGATATTTGAATTGTATTGATTTGATTATATATTATAAAATTTTTGTCTAAATTATTAATATTTTTAACTTGCTTATACAGTATAATTTAGTTTTTTTTATCTTTTAAATCTTTAAAAAAAATGATTTAATATATTAGCTAATTCTCCAGCAGTTGGTTGGTTTTGAGGTTTTGCATTTAAGCATTTATTTATCAGATTCAAAAGTAATTGAGAAGCTTCATATCTAATTTTAGATCTAAGGCTATAACAAATTTAAATTGCTAGTTTATTATTATATGGAATATCATAATATGGAGAATATTCAGTAAAAACTTCTAATATAATTATTCTGAAAGAATAGATATCTGATTTTTGAGTGTATTCTTTCTAACCTAACTATTTGGTAAAAGGTTAAAATAAGAGAAAGGAGTATAAGAAACACTTTAGAGCTATAGGAAGTAAGGCCCAAGAAAAAAGATTAGAGCTTAATATAAAAAACACTTATCTTAGAATCAATCAAAATAATAAAGAGTTTGTCTTTCACTTTTTTGGTTTTTAGGCATTGTCAGAGCTACTTTGTCAACATATTTGATAAGTGAAATGTAAATTCTACAGTTTTTAGTCTACATTTTGCTGATCTTTACTGAACTTTCTATTTCTAAATAGTACTTCTGGAGCAATATACAGGGGTATACCAAAAAATCTTTTAGAATTTAAGTCTTGTGACACTGGTTTACATAAACCAAAATCAGTAATATAATTAACTATATTACCAGAATGAAAATCTTCATGCACTAAATTAAATTTATAAATTGTATTAAGCTCTTAAGCTATATAATATAAGTTAGCTACTTTAGAAACCCAATTTAATTCACTATATTTACTACCAATTTTCTAAAACTTCTTTGCTTTGCATACTCCATAACCATCTTGTAGTTACCATTTTTTGGGTTCTTGGTTTTTCTATAAATTGCAGTTGCAGATTCGCTTTCAGATTTTTAACCTAAAATATTAATTAGAATAAATAAGGTTAGAGCTCTGACATTTATTATCTAATATCCATTTACTATAGAGGCTTACCTCCCACCCCCAGGTAAGATATTTAGATAGATTTGATTGGCTATAATTGTTTTATATAAAGTAAGGTTTTGCTTGATTCTCCTACTCTCTAAAATATTATCTAATAAATATTAGCACCCTTATTATACTTTAATAATAATAAATTAAGCAGTACGAAATAAAGGACAGGTAAGATTTTTAAATATATGTATTACTATATTATTAGTTGCTTAAGTCAAGGTGTTGAGTTTGGAAGTAAAAAAAAGTTAAATACCTATTTATTATATGCCATATTACCATATTATTTGTCTAAATTTGCCTCATAAGTAAAGTTTTTAGAGATAATGATCTATACTAATCTTTTTTTCCAAAAAACATACAAGAGATTAAAGAACACTATAATATGTTCTAAAAAAATTTTATTATATGAAACTATAAGTTGCCAATTAACAATATAGTTTTTTATAGTAAGGGGTTACTTTAAATTTTTTTATACTGTGTAATCTAGTAATCTTCAAGCCAATCAAATCAAATGTCCACTATGCTCTCTTATATAAGAATAAAAGTTAAACTATTCTGCCCAAACCTAGATGGAAAAAAATAATCATAATAGCAGAGGTTTTTTTGATTTTTAACAGCTGCCTTATCTTGTTTGGTGGTCGAAAGTGCATTAGAAGTACATCAAGTATAATCTGAGTTTATATAAGGAGAGTATTATCCTGCATATCAAATACAAAATAAATTTCCAATTATATTATATAATTGAAAACTTTGCTTTGTATTTGCAATGCCAGAAATGCTCTCCTTATACAAACTTGAGTTATATTTGATGTACCTTGATACACTTTTGATACACCAAACAAGATAGGGTAGCTGTTAAAAATCGAAAAAGACCTCTACTAGTTATAACAGATGACAAGTTCCAGCTATTAAAATCCAGATTATATCCAATTGCAAGAGAGGTCCAAAAGAAGGTAAAGCTTACTATAGCAAGTTGAACATAGGTACTTAGTAAGCAACCAGATTAGTTACAACTTGTAATTTAGATAATATAAGATTTGTAGTATAGTGCTTGTTATTTAGAGATAGTTCTCATATACTATTTGCCAACAAGTTAAGAGTTTATCACTCATCTTTTAAATCTATTTATATAAAATTTTACTAATTTAAATGAGTAGTACAAAGTCTAATAAAGTTGAGGCATGACTGCCAAATGCTAAAAATATATATATATATAAGCTAGGTGCTAGAAAAAGGAATGAAATTGACAAAACAAAAGATCTTCGAAAAATCAATTTTTGTATTATAAATCTTATTATAAGAAAATACAAATTTTAAAGAGATATACTGCAAAATTTTATTAACACAACTACTTTTGTGTCTTAAGTGAAAAAAGATTCTAATCTTATCTAAATTAATTTATATAAAAAAATTTAGTTTAAAAAAATTGTTATTTTTATTCCTTTTTCCAGCACCTAGCCTATATATACTAAGTTTTTGAAATTTTAGATTTTAATTCTGAATTTTTGTTAATTTTTAATTAAATTCAATTATTATTTTTTTTTTTTCTTAAAAAAATCATCAAAAATTTGGCTCTTATTTAACTTTTGTTGTAGTTAATTAAAAAATTTTTAAAAAAATTACTGATTTAGATTTTTATAATACTACTTATTGTAAAAATTTTAAAGCTATATCTTTTAAATTTAAAAAGTTAGAGGAGGTGGAATACTTATGACTTTGACTGTATGAAACTATTTTTTGATTTCTAACAAAAAAATTCCTTGTAAAATTTTACTATAAAAACACTATTAACCCTAATCCTAACTCTAATAATAACAAATTTGCACATATTTGTTTTTGTTTTGATTATATGTTATACAATGAAGTGCCACCACCAGTTACAAGCATAATTTTTTCTAATAATTATTGAATTTTTAGAGCTATATAGTATTAATTTACTAAATACCTTATCAAAATTGATGCCTGCTAATTTCTTATACTTAGTACGTAGCATATTTATCAGCTCTTATTTGAAAGTTTTTTTTATTCTATTTTTGTTGAGCAGAATAACTACTTTTTATTATATTTATATTTTTTATATTTTCTAATTTAAAAGATTTTCTACAGTATATTTCTCAAATTTCAAAAAATAAATAGGTATACTCTTCATTGTAATGTAAAACTGCCAATGCATACCAGGCAGTATATAATTTCCAATAGTCAATTTTTTTATCTAGATATACTAACTTTACTCTATTAAATGCTTTAATTTGAGATGTTTGGCTTTTTATTACAACTTCTTGACCTCTAGACAAGCAAAAATTCCTAGTAAAAAATTTTAAATGCTTCAATCTGGTTTTTAGATGGATCACAAAGAGTGGGTTCTTTCAAAATTATTGTTGAATCATCTCTTATCCAACATACATCTGACCAACAGCAACTATGATCATTTTGTAGGTAATCAATAAAATAATGCACAAGGATCTTTGGCTTCTTTTTGCAAAGCTGCAAAACGGATACAAACACATTATATGATCAAATGTGATGCTTTATTTTGCAAACATGTTTGTGTTACACTTACTGCGTAAGGAATTTCTAATACATTTAGTTGAATGTTTAAGATCAGCAAAGATTCTTGTTACAATAGTAAGTGTTTTATTCGAATCTAGATCGCCATCTACACATACTTCTAAGTGCATATCTGCATTCTCTAACGGTTTGCTAATTTTATTTATTAAAAGATAGTATAGATTACATAAAGCTGGATCTATAAAGTGTAAAAAATACTATACGATATCAGTAAGTAATACTTAGTATAAGATTAAAAAATAATTTAAATATTAGAACCAGAGGGTTAAATAAAGTAGATTATAAAGTAACATCCCTATCTATTAATGAATTTACGCTGTCATGGTACTATGGCAAAGCTTGAAAAAAAAAAAAGACAATGGTAATTGTCATTTATTTTCATAATGTATTCCATATAAAAAATATGTATAACCAATTTTAAAATATTTTCATAATGGTAATTAAGACTAGTTAGCAGTAATTAAATTTCATCCTTCTAATGATTTTTCTAATAAAATTTTACTAAAGGTTTAGCTTAACAATCAGAATTAAGAGATTCGATAAAATTGTCTAAATTAAGATCTTCATATTGTTTGTCATCCCACAAATTTTCCAACCCATCAACTAAGTTCTTTGGGGTAATTTTCTTTCCCTTTCCAAAACTGGAACCATCGCTTGTGATTGATGCAATTTTACTTTGACCTCTTTTACTATTATCTGTGGTTACGTTAAACAAATCAAGAATTTGATCAGTGTCCATACTTTGTAATCCAGAATTTTGTTGGTTAACAATGGAATTTGCGATGTTAAGTTTGAATTTTTGCAATCTAAAAAGAAAGACACGCTCGTTAATCATATGTGATATGGATTGATAAGAGCAAAATTTGACATACCCCATAATCTTTTCTTCTAGTGTGCCTTTTGTAATTAATCGATAGACATTGACAGTCTTTTTCTGTCCAATACGATGTGCACGATCCATTGCCTGCAAATCTTTCATGGGATTCCAATCGTGTTCTACAAAAATAACAATCTAAACCAAAAAAATTAAATAAATAAACAAACATGCAGCTTGATCAAATAATAATAATAATTGAGATACATACATCCGCAGCTGTCAAATTGATGCCTAATCCACCAACATGGGTTGTAAGTAGTAAGACGTCAATTGATGGATCTTTATTGAATTGCTGTACAATGCCATGTCGTTTGTTAGCATCTACTGATCCATCTAGACGTAAGTAAGTAACTGAAGGCATATAAGTTTCAAGTAAATCTTTTTCTATGATATCGAGCATAGTCTTAAGTTGACAAAAAATAAGTGCACGATGCTGGCTTACGGCTCCAGCTCCAAGTGAATCTTCAGAGTCTTGGGATGTTCCAATTCCACAATCATGTAGTAATTGTCTGCAGCATTAATTTGAATTAATAAAACGAGTACATATCGCAAACGAGTAAAAAATTTGTACTTACTTTAATGCAAGCAACTTCGGAGCGTTTTCCAAATCATGCAATGAAGTCTTGGTAGCTTTGAGTCGATCCATAACCGTACGATATTGAGGGTGCTTATTATTGACAACAAGCAAAGGATGATTGCATAGTTTACGTAAATATTGTAGAGCTTGAAAAATGTGTGTATGTGTCTTCTTTTTTTCTACTTCACCATCAGTGACATCTGTCTCAAGTTCCATTTCGACTTTACTTTTAGCCTGCGATTTAGCAAATTGTTCATATAGTTGCTTCTATAAAAGCGGTGACAATTATATATCAGAACTGAAACTATTGAATACAATATAAATCACATAAGCTTTATTTAACAGTCTACCAACCTGTAAATCACTAAGCTCACAGTAATAGTCCTGAATAATTTTAGGAGGTAAATCACTTAATACATCTTCCTTCAATCGACGCAGCAAGAACGGTAACACTTGCTTGTGTAAAGCTTCAAGGGCAAGTGCGCCTGAATCAAAGAAAAACATGAGTTATTATACAATTTAAAGTAAGCAAGCTAACACGGAACATACCAGCCTCTTGTTCTTTAGATGAGCTTTTACTGTCTCTACTAGCCAATATTGGTTTTCCAAATCTCTCATTAAATTGTTTTTCTGTTCCCAGAAACCCAGGCATTAAGAAATCAAAAAGTGACCATAATTCCAATACGTTATTCTATATGTGTCATTGATAAATAAGTAATGTTTAAATAAAAACATACAAATATTAACTAAATAAAAACCTGTATTGGTGTTCCGGATAATATTAATCGATGATTTGCCTTTACAGACTTCACTGCTTTAGTAATCTTTGTTTTTCCATTTTTTATCACATGTCCTTCATCTAAGATGCAATAATTCCAATGTATACTGGCCAATTCGTCAATATCATTACGCACAATATCATAAGACATGATAACTATGTCGTAGTTAGGAATCTTTGGTCGGAGCCTTCATAATAATTATTATGTGAATTAGCAAATAGAAATAATCATTGTAAACAACAAATATTTAGATTAAAAATATCAACCTATCTCTATCCTTAGGATTACCAGAATACAGTAAAGGTTTTAATGTGTCAGTATAATTTAATATTTCGTGATACCAATGTCCTGTCAATGTAGGTGGGCATACAACCAAAGATGGACAATGAACGCTGTCTGGTGATTTTGTTGCATTATATTTTGTGGCACGCATGTGGTGATCACTCGCAAGAATGCAAATAGATTGAAGTGTTTTGCCAAGACCCATATCTAAAAAACATTATTAAGTTATTGACAGTAAATAAAATATGCCTGAACAAAGATCGATATAACGTCCTTACCGTCACATAATATCCCATGCAATTGATATCTGTTTAAAAATGCAAGCCAATTTACGCCTTCTTGTTGATATTTTCTTAATTCAGCTTTGATCGTAACAGGAATTTCATATGGGTCCAATTTTCTGCTGTCAAGCAGCTGAGCAAGGAATTTGCGTTCTTCATCTCGGTGTATCAACAATTCTGCAGATAAACCAGGTGGATCAGGTATTCCAGCCTAAACAAATCACCAATTAGAATCTTAATAAAAACCAATTTTACTAATATATGAAACCAGATTAAAATTACCTCCAATGGAACCAACTTTATTAGCATAGCAAAACAATTGGTGCTCACTAATCGAACGTTTTCATCCACATCGCTCATTCGACCCAAAATTGGTACTATCAAAAAGATGACATATGGTAGAATCTTTGCGTCCATAGTTTGCACAACATCTAAATTCGCAAAATAAAAGGTCAAGAAAAATATAAATATTAAATATTAGGGTGCTTTAATAAACCAAATGAAACATTGTGAAGGATACGGTATATTAGTTCAGCAGCTCCTTGACGACGTATCACATTCTGTGAATCCCCCAATAGTGGTATTGCTTGACCTATTATGATCTGCATACTCTGGGCAGTGATAACATTAGCAATTGTGGCAAAGCAACGGGCAGCCATGGACCTAATTACTGAATATTGACACTGAATGGCTCTCACAAGACAAGGAAGCAATTCCGTTATCTGTTTGAATACAATTGCTTTTTTAATATAATTATTTATAAGATTAAAAGTAAATTATGTGCAAATATAACGAACCTTTAATCGAAGAGATTCATGAAATACAGGAACTAATGTTTGTAATATCTGTAAAGAGTCAATGACATCTTGTCCCAGACTAATATTAGATTTGAAGACTGATGTTATTTTTTCTTTGTCATCTACATAATATCGAGAACAAAATAAAACTCCTTAACATATAGAGACCATTAATTATTAAAAAAAATCAAACAGATCATTACATACCATGAGCGAACACTGTGCTCAAAGAATAATGCACACACACCCATAGCCTGGGAACAATATCAAATAGTCTGGATCCAAATTGTATAGAAAATTGGCGAAGAGCTGTTTCAGCACCACGACGTATTAATTTTTGTGATTTTAACTCTTCATCATTTTGGGAATCACTATTAGACGACCCTTTATCGGGCTCTTTAGCCTTCTGTAAAGACAGTATACCCTCCTTTGCACGGTTAGCTTGCAGCTCAGGTGTTGTAGTTGGATCAGAGCAAAGAAATGTACATAGATTTTTCACGATTTTGTCGTTAGGATTTACTCGCGTTGAACCATCCTCAGAAGCACATAGTTCTACAAGGCTCGCTAATGTAGCCGCCGAACGTTGCTGCAATCCTAGATTTTTTTCAGTTTTTATTGAATTCATAATAGATCTAACGACAGGATTAAGCTTAGGAGGTAATGCTCGCAATGCAACGACAGCACCAGCAATTGCTGCAAATACAACAATGTCATTTTCCTGTTTAGTTGACTCATAACAACCGATTGATGATACTACTCGGCGTTGGCGATCATTTAAGGCTTGTCGTTCATCGGTTCGGGCTTGCGTTGATTTTCCACCTACCCCAGCGACTTGGGCTAATAAATTATTGAAAGTAGTGGCCGAAAGCTCCTCTGCTGTTTCAATACTGAACAATGGAAATAAAACATCTGATTGAATGACCTCGCCAAGAACATGTGAAGGTAAAGCAGGGATAATCGCGGAGTCAATTTTTCCGACTGAAACGAATGTATTGAGCAATGCTTGACATTCACCACGAATGCGACGAAGAATAGGTATAAGTTCCGAATAAAATTTTGGTGGTTCAGATTCCAATATTGAGATCATATGGTTTGAAAGTTTAAGTGTTAATGGTGATACGTTCAACAGTGATGTATGAATGTCGTAACCTTCGTTTTCTACAATTGAACGTGCCCACTCTTCTGTGATGACAGCAGCAAGTTGTTTATTTGATGCCCAAGAAGAAGACAAGCACGAAATAATTATTTCCTCGAACGATGTTTCCAGGGACTAAAATATATAAATATTCAAGACAGTTTAATAAAACAAACATGGCTATTAAATTATGTGGAACACAGTGATTATTATTTAACTAAGCCAAAATTATTATCGTTCTACCTCATTAGGCCAATGACTCATTAACATACCCAGGCCTTTAGAAGCAGTGACTCTGCCTCTTAGCACAGTGTCCTTGCTGACCAACGCAAAATCTTGTTGTAACATCCCAGTATCAATATTATGTCCGGTCACTACATCATCACCATTGTTTGTTTGAATACGCCCCTGTGATCGACGTCGTGCGTTGGTAGGTGATGCGATGGTAGGTGATGTTTCCATTGGAATTGGACCATCGGGTATAAAAAATAATCGTCGATCAATTGGCGTACCTAACGGTGTCATGATTATCATGAACCACGTTCTAATGGATTGATCCGTAAAAGCAATGATTTTATTTTCTCGGCCGGGCTTTGATACATGAGATACTAAAGCAGACCAGACTTTAAGAGATAGTTCGAGAACATACTGAAATTACAAATGTTTCTCAATGAGGATAAATTTAACTTTTTTCTTAACCTTATAACTCAGAATAAAGAAATAGTGCGTACGCTTTTTTCTTCAACAATCATATTTTGAAAAACAAGCCTGAAAGTGCGATTATCTACCCATTCTTCAACATCTGCCATACCCAGAAATGTCAGCAATGTGTTTAGTACCGCAGAGCGCACGGAAGTAATAGTATGACGAAAGAATGGGTATAATCGAGGTATTAATGTTGTCAATGAATGACTACGAAATGTAAAATATTGTTAAAATACAAAATAAATTAACTGAAATATAACTTTTGGAAATTACCTCGAATCAGAAGTAGCAGCTGTTCGCATATATTCTAATACTTTTGGAAAGGAAAATAATCGGGCTGAAATTATTTTCAAAACAAGACATTAAGGTCAATAAAATTATGAAAGACGCAATAATAATTTATTAAAAATAAATATGTAAATAAATAGATAGATAAAATTTACCCAAAAAATCCATTACACTGGCTGTAGATGCAGTAAGATCATCCTTTAAATCCTTTAGGCAATCCCATAAGACCGAAACTATTTCCGGTATTTTGTGCGCAGAGAGTGTAACAAAATGTTCAGCAATCGGAATTAAAATAGATGCTGCAACAGCTCTCACGTCGTCGTCATTATCTTTTAACCTTAAATATGACAAAATGAAGGGTAGTTTGTAAATAATGTGATATATGGAATAACTGAGAAAATCATAAACATACCCTAATATCACTGCACCCACGGTCCCGTCCAATATTGTATTCACTAAATCCTTACGGACAGCAACTGCGTACTTCAAACCTAACATCCCAGCATGTCTAACTTCCCATATTGATGGCTTATATCCCTGCACATCTGTTTGATAAATCATCTGTAATAAAACTTTGTGAACATTATCCACACCCTGTGGTGACATATAGCGTAAAAGTGCCCCCATTGTTTGCGAACAAGTCTCCCGTACAGGTGCAACAACCTTTAAAATCATTATTAAAACGTTAGGTATTGTTACACATAGCATAATTATAGTAATATTCACATACCTGATCTGATACGAAATCTCCGAATCGGTCCAGTGCAAATACACATAACAAGCGAATTGCTACATCCTCCAACCATTTATTATGTCTGAATTCATTTTCCGTTTTAGTTAGTCCAACTGTTAAAAATAACATGATATAACTTAATTCGATATCAACTTAATAAGCGATTAAAATCATATGTATATACTCACCGCGACGTCCAGCTCCATGGCCGTGTACTTTAAGGATTTCTCTTAAACCGATGCATGCACCATGCCTAACTTCCCAGCATGGACTTGAAAGATATTCGATGTCAATATTTATCGCAAGGAAGGAAAAAAACCCCGATAATAAACACGCGAACTCACTTAAACAAAGCCACGCAGAGAGATTCGCACACATTTTCAAATGGCCATTCATTAGACTGATCATCCGTTACATTTGACGATCCTTCTTTTTTAGCTTCTACAACAATTTTGCTTGAACAAGGTTGTGGTGTAAAATTGAAATATCCCTCCGCTTGTGTCTGCTCTGATGATCCTGATTAAGTGTTAAATAAACAACCATAATTCAATATTGTTGAATAAGTAAACCTATGAAATATATTTACACATACCATCGGGTTCGACTTTGACAGTTGTTGGTGCAAGTGGAGCCGTTAATGGAGTTGTATAATCACCGCTTGTTTTTCGTGTACCAATTTCCACAACACGTAATCTAGATCAATAAGTCAATAAATACAAAACGCTACATAGCAAATGCACGGTATTCTGCATACTTTTCTTTCCCCTTAATTTTTGCATCATTTTTTGCTTTTCTCTTCAGTTTATTTCTTTCTCTGGCGCTCAGGTTAGCCATGTCTTCTGGCGGTAAAATTGGAGAACGTGGTGGTTGTATAGAAGTAGACTCGACCTTATTGACTTGTGTATTTTGTGTTTGAGTCGCCCCACTTATATCAACATCATCCAATAAATCGACTGCGAGAAATATTCGTTTTTTATTGGTATATGACATCATATAAAAGTTGTTTTGAATTAGCTTTTAAAGTTTTCCTACTTACCGTCCATAAATTCTCCACCTAATCCTAGTCTTTCTCTGAGATTCTTATGTTGTAACGCGAGTCTCTGAGCAGGATCAAGATCACTTAAATCAAGATCATATTCCTAAAGCGCAAGATTAATTGTATAAGACGATGATTAGGATTACTGTGACGACTAAATACCGGTACCATGAAACCCACATGGCTGCACAATTTCATTTAAAATAAGGTAATTGGCACATACTTTTCCGGCAGAACCTAACAATGTTTTTCCATTTTGTAATACATTCGAAATGTCAAAATTTTCAAAGGAATATTTATTATCGCTTGACTCATTTTTAGCCGATATTTCGTTTTCAATTTTAACAACTACAGTATTAAAAATCAAAGTATTTTAGTTACATCAAACTAAAAAAAAAAAAACTAAAGAGAAAGCTAATTATAATACTACATACTCTCCGGAGGGTCCCACTGCGGCACATTTTTGCCAATAGCTTCAATTGCTTGCCCCGCAGCAATCCGAGTATCCCATTCTTTATTGCTCAAATGAATAACAACCTGATTTACGCATGAGCGAAGATCTCTCGAATTAATCATGCAACAAAATTTTGCAAGAAATCATTAGGGCATCATTTAAAAGGGAAAGATTTCACAATACCCTTGATAACAAGTTATGCAGCTCCCCAGGGTGTTGCTTTTGAATTTCTCCTAATTGCTGCGCAGCAGTTGCTCGGACTGCAGGCGTGGATCCGGTGTCCAGGAGAAGGACTAGACGGTCCAATCTTAAATTCGAAGTTTAGTAATGTCAATATTAAGATAATTTATTCTGAAGTGTTTTAAAGTAAGAGTTTTAGTAGCTTGCCTCGTCGCCATTTTTAGAGATCCAACTCAGGGGACTGATTTGAATTACAATATAAAAAAATATGTGATACACGAGGTCAATTTGTGAAGATTTGGTATGGGATATGGCACCTATATATATTGATAATTGATCAACAATATAGCATTACACAATATTTTTAACTGGGATGTGTGACTTGGCGTGGCGTTATTTATTTATAACCTCTAGGTATATATTAGATATATATATAAACGAGAAATTGAAAACTCAAAAACAAACTCAACTAACTAACTGCAAGAATAAAGAAAAAATAGCCAATAAAAATCTAGAAGCTTCTGAACTACTAAATAATCCAATATGTTTTTTTTTTTATTAGATGTACAATATAAATATAAATCTATAAAATAACCGTTACTAAAGAATCAAATTCTAATAACTGTTAGATTTTTAGCTTCTGTGGTCTACGTAATCATTATATTGTTTACAAGAATAGCGATGCAATTTATATCTACTCACACTGTGCTTATTGTTTTAGCGAACTAATCTCATTTCGTTTCGCTTATTCTCTTCTTTCATAATATACGTATAATGTATATATATTCGTAATTTTGTATTATATAACTAATAATATTTAAATTATATATATATATATATATACTGTATATATAGTATATATATATATATTGATTTATATACTGTATATATAGTATACTATATATACTATATATACACTGTAAAATTTTTATTATTAAAATTTTTAATTTGTACACAGTATATATAAAGTATACTGTATATAGAATATACAGTATACACTACACAAGTTTATTAATATTTTGAATTTTTTTTAGAATAATACCTTGCTTATTAAATAATTTATAATTTTTTTTTGCAATTTTTAAAAGATGAGGTCTTGCTTATATCTTTATTGAGTAATTTACAGTATACAAATAAATACAGTCTACTCTCATTTATATTAACCTATTTGGACTGGTTAAATTCATATTAATAGTAATTTTTTTTTTTTGTTCAAATTTGGCAATCATGCCACAACTTTATTAGACTTTGTACAATTTTTATAGAACGGTAAAATTTTACGAAAAAGATTTATTGGTAAGTGATAAACTCTGAACAAGTCGGCAGATAGCGTATGAGAACTATCTCTAAACGACAAGTGCCATACTCAAGGTACACCCTAAGCTACCTAAATTACGAGTTGTGACTCACCTGGTTACCAACTTGGCACCTATGTGTGACCTGCTATAGTAGGTTTTTCCTCCATCCGGTCCTACCTGAACTAGGATAATGACCGGCTCTCAACAGATGGTTCCTACCGCCCATTATGACTACCTTTTCTTCTTTCAAACTTCTTCTACCTAAGCCCAACCAAAAGAAAGAATGCGGCTTTAGAAAAGAAAAAGTTTTGTTGTTTCTCCTGTGTTCTTCTTTGAAGTAATGACCTAGAAACTTCGTCGACGAAAGTGAGCTCTTTGCTTACACTCCACCAAGATTTTTTATACAAAAACGCCTCTTGCCAGTTAACTCATATAATAACGCTCTTGGCTTGCATGCTAAATATCTCTTTAGAGAAGTCCTATATAGCAAAACGTTGATCTCTAGACAAACTGTAACGTAGGCCACGACTCTCTAACAAAAAATTTTATTTTTCTATTAGTGAAAAAATTTGGTTTTAATAATCATTGGAAAGAGTTTTTGATATATTAAAATTTTCTTATATAGTATATATCAACTTTAATATAATTTCTTATTAATATTACTATTAATATCATCATCAAAAAACACAACTCTTTCCGATGATCATTTGGACCAAAAAATTCTGAAAAATCTTTTGATCAGGAAGAAGCATAACTAACTATGATGATACTATAAGACATGGGAAAGAAGGCCCCAGGATAGCAGTTGTCGTTTAGAGGTAGTTCTCATATGCTACCTGCCGACAGCTTTAGAGTTTATCACTTACTGTACCTTAATAAGCACGGCACTTGTTGTTTAGAGATAGTTCTCATATACTATCTGCCAACAAGCTCAGAGTTTATCACTCACCGAAAAAATTAAGTACTGTGTATTGTCGGGATAGTCTTGTGTAGACTTTTGGAAAAATAAAAAAACTAATAATCCTTTTTTTTAGTAATAGCATGGTCTTTCTTTTTACCACTTCTGCTAACCTTACCAAAATTTTCAAAAAAAAGTGTGCATTTTGGCTTACCTTCTTCAAAAGATCAGCATTGTTTACTTCTATTAAATCGGGATGGACTCAGTAGAAAGCAACCATATATTTTGATAATTTACAAATGCGGTGCTACGGTACAAGGATGAATACAGCACCCTCGTTTAGGAGATACCCAAGTTGAGTCAGTGTATGGAGCGAGTTCCAAAAATAAAACGAACGTTTTATAACAAGATATAATAAGTAGTTGCAATTATTATATAATTTTTATTACTACGATAAGCTTATCATGGCTATCTTCTGTACTTTTTTCGCTTTTTTCATTTATGTTTAATTTATGTTAAACTATTTTAGAATTTTGTTTCTTTTGTGTTTTTTTTTTTTTTTCGCTATAAGGCTTTTTTTTTCTAAAATGTTTATGTCTTCCATAAACATGGCTTAAATTTTTTCTTTTATATATGAATAAGGGTTAATTATTTGGTCGGGCTTAGGTGGAAGAAGTTTGAAAGAAGAGAAGGTAGTCATAATGGGCGGTAGAAACCATCTGTTGAGAGCCGGTTATTATCCTAATTCAGGTGGGACTGGATGGAGAAAAAACCTACTATAGCAGGTTGCACATAAGTGCCAAATTGGTAACTGAGTGAGTCACAACTCGTAATTTAGATAGCTTAGAGTGTACCTCAGATACGGCACTTGTCATTTAGAGATAGTTCTTATACGCTATTTGCTGACTTGTTTAGAGTTTATCACTCACTGATAAATCTTCTTTGTAAAATTTTACCATACTATAAGAATTGTACAAAGCCTAATAAAGTTGTGGCATGATTGCTGAATTTGAACAAAAAAAAAAAAAAAAAGTAGTGTTAAGTGTTGCTATCCCTTAATATGTAGATCAACACAGGCAAATTTGCCTGTGTTTTTGCACTTTTTTAGCTCTGATTTACTTTTTTAAAATGCTAAAATATTTAAATAAAACTTTGCACAATTATATTT